CAGTGTTTTGGACTCTGTATCTAATAAATTGCTTGTTTTCATTTTGTTCAGTTCCTTTTTCTTGAGCTTTTTCTATTCTTCCATGTGGGACTTGCTCTTTTGTCTCCCCATTTTGGCTGCCTCTTTGTGTCTGTTTCTATGTATTATGCAGGGCTCCTAAGTCTCCTAAGTCTCCCAGTCTTAGTACATTGGTTTTATGTAGAAGGTGTCCTTTGGGGCCTAGTGGCACAGTACTGGGAAGGGTCCAGCTGCATGCCAAGTTCAGCTGCAGCCTGTGCACCTTTGGGGCCACCTGGTAAGAGTCACCAAGCAATCTATAGATTGCTGCCACCTATGTGGGCTTAGAGATGCCTTGAGAGGCCAAGCCAGAAACTGAGGCTAGCTGCCACTAGTGCGGGGTTTGGGGCTGCTCAGCAAGAGTTACTGGGCACGCCGAGGTCAGAAACTGCTTCTTTGAGTTTTATGAGCCTTTGAGAGCTTTTTTGGAAAGTTGACAGCAGGAGCCAAGACAGACCATTTGTATGGAATAAACCACTGGAAACAGCTTGGATGGGCCTGCAAGTTGGGAGAAGCAGAGTCTCAGGGAATTAACTGGGTAGAGCGAACTGTGTTGTCCAGGTTGATGGTGACTCAGATACTGGGGTGCCTGCATCAACAGGATGGGAGAGGGGAGGGCTCAACAGAGGAACAATGGATACTGCCAGCACTTCTCTCTAGGAAAAAGCTGCCCCTCTAGCCCTTGCCCTGAAGCCTGACAACTCAGTGCCTCTCTGTATGTCCCTGATGCCCCTCGAGCAGCTTCCGAGCACTGGAGCTCCTAGCAAGCGAGTCCACCAGCGAGTAAGTCTGGGTGTGGGCCCTTTAAGAGGAATGTCTGTGACTCCTACAGCCATCCATCTCATTCATTCGCACTCTCTGCTGGTTTTTACAGCCAGAAGTTGTGGGAACTTCTCTTCCTTGCACTAGAACCCTAGGCTGGAGAGCCCAGTGTGGGGCCAGGACCCCTCACTCCTCAGGTTGGGGAGGGGGGCTCTGCAGCCAAGATATCCCTCTCAATTCTTGATCACCACATGCACTTGTGGGACTGGGCCATTTCTCATCTCCGCCCCTCCTACTGGTTTGAGGTTATCTGTTATTTTTGTTTCTAGTTGTAGGGCATCTGTTCAACCAGACTTCAGGCAACTCCACACGCTGGTTGCTCTGTAGTTTCATTATAATTTTGGTGTGGTCGCAAGAGTTGTCATGCACACCTTCTACCTTCTACACCATCTTGACTGGTCTCTGGGGAGGATTATGGTTTTATGAGACCTGAAGCTTGTACAATTTAGGGGGCCCACTTTAAGAAAAAAATACAAAATTAATTCATTTTTGAAAATGCTATAAAGCACAGCACTTGGAACAATTTGCTTGGGCACTATTCAGGGTCTTAGCAGGGGTCCATGCAAGTCAGGGACATAAAGCATAAGCTTCATTAACTTCATGGTATGTCCACTTCTGTCGCACAGTGGTATTCAGGGTAGGGCTCCAGACACAGTCAGGAGTAGAGGTACAGATCAGGAAACTAAAGCAGGAGGCCAATTCAAATTAGGCTGGGTTCATAAAGAAGGGCTAAGAGAAAGGAGATAGCTTGATCTGCATGTGTGTATACAGGGCTCAGTTCTAGTATTCTAGATACCAGACTTACTACAGCCAACATAACTCCATACTTCCCTTATACACTGGAAGGTCTGCCTTGGTGGTCATGAGATCATGCCCAGATTAGTGCAGAAATTAGGAAGGGCTGACTGCCCTCTGTGTCTGTGGCTAAGTCAGGCAGAAGATGAGTCTGATAGGGACTTGTACATATTAATGTTTGTTCATCCAGTCATTGAGCAGTTACTTTGTATGTCTTAGACGAAAAAAGATGACTAAGGCCCCATCTCTGTCCTCAGGGAGCTCACTGTCTAAAAGTGGCTGAAATCTAAACATGTTACAGCTAGTCCCAAAAGAAATCACCTATGGACCCCAAGAGTCTCTGAGTAGTGAGGAGGACTGTCCTGGTTTTAGTATTGAAAGTCCTGTGTTTCAAAAAATTCCTCAGGGAAAACCAGGACGGTTGGTCATTCTAGATCAGAGGGCTAGTGACTATTTTTCTTGGAGGCAGGAGGGCATCATGGTCCCTGGGCTCAGCCTTGAAGCACCATTCATTTCCCTTTAGAGTGTGAAAGGGAACGGTGGCCCTTACATATTTTCTAATCCAGCACTGAGGGGCTGCATCCAAATTTCTTTGGAGTATGTGAGGTTGGTAAATGAGTTGTAATCCTGGGCCTGTTGTATGAGGAGAAAGTGGAAGGAGTGGCAATGCTGGGAAAAGAGCCTGGGAGAACAGCCTCAGTGGCCACCTCTGAGGAGAAGCAGCAGCCAAGCCAGATCAAGACGAAGGCCACCACGTGATGGAGCTCCATGCAGTGATGGCCTCCAAATCAAGAACAATGGACTGACCCACTCAATGCGGAACTTCAGAGTTTCTGAGCCCTGTATTCTGTAGCCCCAAGGGCAGAGTAGGGTGAGACTAGGCTAGCAGAGAACAATGAACATGGAAGAAACACATTATCCCTTTGTTCCCCCAGCCCTCTCGTAGACACTAGTCTATCCAGGTTAGGGAAATCAGCTCTGGGTTTTTATCTGAGATCTTCAAGTTTAATTTATCCCACACCCAACACCTGTAATTACATGCCAAATTTTGTACAAACAAGCATCTTCTCAGGAAGACGGCATTTATCAGGGTCTCAAAGTTGTCCAAGATCGGAAACTGATTAAGAAATACTGGACTAAGTGGTTGCTAAGGTCCTTGTTTTCACATTCTATAATTCTTTGATAATATTCAAGATAATTAATTTGAATCTTGTCATCAAAAGGTCACTGCCACTATGCAATGCCACCAGCAGTCCCCGGTTTGGAGTACAGTGAAGAGAGAACCTTTATTCTTGTGAAACATCTGTAAACAGTCTACAAACCAAACAAGGGAAATGCAGTCTCTGGTAAAATGGCAAGCGTGTTCCACCAGACAAAGAGAAGAGTGGTTTATATAGAGAAAAGTTTTACCCCTACCTTTGTTCCTGATTGTTCTCAGTTCACGCAATTATCCAGAAAGAATCCTTCTCGGCAGATATATTCTTTCTTGGGGTTGATAATTTATAAAAAGGATTACAAAGAAAGTGTCAGGGTCCAAGAATCACAATGACTATCACTTTAAGAAATATGCCAAATATTAATAACTGGTAATACAAAATAGCTTTCTCTGTTGTGAAAGGGGGCCTTTGATGGCTGATTTATGAGTCATCTTGGCTAGACTAGTAGACACACTGTGTGGGTGCTCAGTTGTTTGGTCAAACACTATATGCTGTCATTGGATTTTTTTTAGTTATGATTAACATTTAAACCAATAGACATTGAGTAAAGCAAATTACTCTTCATAATGTTGGTGAGCCTCATCCAATCAGTTGAAGGCCTCATGAGCAAACATTGAGGTTTCCCAGAGAAATAAAAATTATTAAGACTGCAGTTTAATAATTTACACAGTTTAATAATTTAAAATACACAGAAACCACAGTTTCCCCTTGCTGCCCTTGTAGAATTCTACAAGACTGTAACGTCAACTCTTACTTGAATTTCTAGCCTTGCTGCCTGCGCTGGGACTTGCCAATCCTCTCAAGCATGAGCCAATTCCTTAAAATAAATCTCAGTCTCTTCGCTTTATCCTATTGGTTTTGTTTCTCTGGAGAACTCTGACCAGTGCACAATCCATTAGTCATTTATGTCAAATTACAATACTGGGGATTAACATATATATGACTTACCAAAATATTCACCACAGGTGAAGGCCATCCTAAGGCCATTTGGAACAAATGATTACTATTGAACAGGAACAGCATATAAAGAGAAAAAAATGTTCTTTTCCAAACTTCAAGTAATATAGTCAAAGGACCCAATTTAATAAAATTGGCTGAAAGCAAGTTAATTAACATCACGATTTGGTTAAAATAACGATTTGGTTAAAAATGAATATCCTTTACTTTTTAACTGATATACCACTCTGTACTGTTAACCGCTTTTACGAAAAGCACATATTCATATTACTTTTATAATTCTAGAAAAAGAAGATAATACATTTCAGGCACTGGTTTTTTTTTGTTTGTTTTTTGTTTTTTGTTTTTGGTAGTGCTGCTGGTAGTGGAGAGGTAACACCTTCCCACTTCCTACAGGCCCTGGGAGCTGGACCACCCCATAGGAAGACTCTTGGGCTCCAGCCTGGTGAAGTGGAGCTGCAGGAGTCTGAATTTCCACAGGATTCCTTCCTGTCCATGTTTACAACATGCCTGAAAGAGCCCATGCTCTTTAGGCACCAGTGAAAGGTAAAGGATCTTTAAGAAACTTTCAAATTCCTGAAAAAGCAACCAGTGGGTTGGAGCTTGATGGTAAAAGCAGCCACCCTGGCTTTGTCCCTCCTTCCCCATAAGAGAGCAGAGAAGATCTAACTCATTGTTATTTATTTCATTTGCTAAGTATTTATTGATGAGAATTGCATGTGCAAAGTTTAAGAAGTCTGGGGTGGGGGCGGGGAGCGGAGAGGAGGGGACGGCGGAGAACTCTGTTTATTAAATACTTTCGTCTGAATTTTGAATTTCTTTTCAGGACATTTTATTTTTCTTAATAGCGATTCATAGAATGTAACGGGTTAAAAGAAACGCAGGCATTGCCTCAGGGAGCTTAGATGGACGATAATTAAAATTAAGGGCCTGGTCAACATAAAAAGCGGTTGGCCTTTGGAGAATCAGGCTGTGCCAGTGTGCTTGGACCTCAGAATTCCACCACTCTTACGCTCACCTCCACGAGCTTCTCTGGGTCAGCCCAAACAAGCCCGCGCCTCGAAAAGTTCGCTGCGCAGCCGTGACGTCACGGCCTCGGGGCGGGGCCCGCGCGCGGCAGGGGCGGAGTCACTTCCCGGATGTCGCGGAGGGGGCGGTCCGGGGGCGGTGGCCCTGCGGGGCTCTCTCGGCCCCTGAGGTCCTGGTGTGTATAACGCACCTGCTGGATAGGCGGCTGCGGCTGAGAGGCTTATGGAATCAGGATGTCTGGGCTGCCCACCGTCCCGGAGCAGGGGCGCCCGGAACAGTGTTCGCCGAACTCCCCGTGCGCAGGCTTTGTGCTGGGGTTGGACGTGGGCAGCTCAGTGATCCGCTGCCACGTCTATGACCGCGCGGGGCGGATCCGTGGCTCCAGTGCCCAGAAGGTGACTGGGGACGGGCGTCGGGGCCGCGGGTCAGGGTCGCACGTAGCACCGGGATCGGGTCGGGGAAGGCAAATGCGCGGGTTCGTCTCATCCGGCCTGGACACGGCCACCAGCAGCACCTGCGGGCCCTGGGTCCTGAGCGCGCCCAGTCTGGCCATATTTTCGCATTCCCTCTCCCAGCAGGGTTGAAACCGGCGATCTCTTCCAGTCCAGGCTGAGGGCAGGTGGGCCTCAATTTGTGACCCGGGCCGTTCGCTGTCATTCTGGTCACCTGAGGATTTGCTTCGCCGTCCTTATCTGGGTGGGACTGCGGTGACTCGCAGAGCAAGGGCAGGCTGCATGTATCCAGACAAAGGGTGCTTTTTGACTTGCTTGGATTTTCTTGCACTTCCCTGATAGAGCTCCAGCCTCGTTTTCATTTACATTTTATTTTTTCAGATCATAATAGAGTTTAGCTTTATTGTCCCTTCTTCAGTTGTCATCAGTATTAACTACTTTTCAAAGTGCTGATTCCTCACATGAGCAAGCAACTGATTTCCATGGATATGGGAGATATTGAACCGATTTCAATGGGAGGTATTGAACAACTTTTGAAGACTGTATTGTCACTTCTTTTCTCCTTTTCATTTTTCAGAATCATAAATATCTTTTTCTGGTTTGAGAAACCTACCAAGTCATAGTTGTTGTTATTAGTAAATTCTTGTTATTAGTAAAGCAGCCAACAGACTGGTATTCTGTTGTTCTCATTGTAATGAAGTGCAGATTTCTACACAATTTCCAGCATACCCAAAATAATGTTGATCAGTTATGGTTCCTATTTACTCTTCTTTCCAATATCAACATCTTTTTTATGTTAGCAGTATCAGAAAAGGAGCCATTAGTTACCTAAACTATTTCCGTAGCAGTAGACTCCCCATTATTTGGATTCCCACCCATCTTCCAACCCTCTTAGAATTGTTTTTCAACCACAGCGGTTACCCAGGAGCAGGTCTAGCCAAATGACTGCTTTGAGCATTTGTTTTGAAAAAACTGGTTTCAGTTCTGGTTTGGAGACCAGGACAGTGAGCTGGAACTACAGCAGCTCCCTGGTACCTTCACTAGCAACCTGTGTAGAAACACTGGCCGGCCACCCACCCACACACCACATTCCCATGGCAACTAAAAAGTATAGATGAAAGTTGACACAGTCCTTCAGCAACTGTGTGCTCCTTATCTTTTTATGAGTATCACAACATAATGATACTTTTCACATAGTCTCCCTTATAATCCTAGACACAAAGTCCTTTTGTTTTAAGCAGTGATTTTTTTTAAAAAAGGAATGTAAGTATATGGAACTAAAGGGAGACAAATTGTTAGAACATACAAGATTTCACAGTTGCTGTATTATTTGGGGCAAATCATTAGTTTTTAAGAAATGAGGCAAGAATCTCAAAGATGAATCAGTATTGCTGTGAGCAGCAGAAAACTAGAATGGTTTGTTCAGACTCAACTGTGGAGAAGGTATCTGGAAAGATAAGTGAATAAATAAAAAATAAAAGTCCCTGCTATCAAAGGACAAAGCACTAGATTAATAGCACGTTGCTATAAACTTCTTAATCTAAGAAGCAATGTCTCTCAAATTGTAGTAGGAATTTTATAGCACTGCTTCTTAAAGTGTGGTTCCTGGACTGCTGGGGTTGGATAAAGAAAGTAAGATGTAGACACGTGCAGCAATTTGGCAAAGTAATTTTTGTTCATTGACCTTAATAACAAAACATTGGGGATTTTATTTTATGTGTCATTTTATTTCATATGTAATTTTTTGTCTGAGTTTTTTTTATTTTTGAATTACAGTCAGTGGTCAATATTTTATTAGTTTTAGGTGTACGGCTAATGTTAGACATTTATGTAATAAGTCTAGTACCGACCTGACACCATGCATTGTTATTATGACATTATTGACTATATGCCCTATGCTGTAAACTATACATCCTCATGACTATTTTGTAACCACTAATTTGCTCTTCTTAATCCTTTCACCTGTTTCACGCAGTCTCCCAACCCCATTCCAATTGGGCAGTCATCAGTTTGTTCACTCTATGAGTTTGTTTCTGTTTTGTTCATTCATTTGTTTTGTTCACATATAAGTGAAATCATATGGTATTTGTCTTTCTCTGACTTATTTCACTTAGCACAATACTCTTTAGGTCTATCCATGTTGTTGCAAATCGTAAGATTTCATTCTTTTTTATGGCCGAGTAATATTCCATTGTATGTATGTACCATCTCTTCTTTATCTGATCATCTATATATACATGGACACTTAGGTGTACGGCTAATGTTAGACATTTATGTAATAAGTCTAGTACCGACCTGACACCATGCATGTCTTGGCTATTGTAAATAATGCTGCAATGAACATAGGGATGCATATATCTTTTCGAATTAGCGTTTTGGATTTTTTCAGATAAATACCAAAAAGTGCGATTGCTGGGTTATATGGTAGTTCTATTTTTACTTTTTTAAAAACCTCCATACTGTTTTCTGTAATGGATGCACCAATTTGCAATCCTACCAACAGCGCATGAGGGTTCCCTTAGCTCTGCATCCTTGCCAACGCTTGTTTCTTGATTTATTGATGATAGCCATTCTGGCAGGTGTGAAGTCATATCACATTGTGGTTTTAATTTGCATTTCTCTGATGATTAGTAATGTTGAGCACCTTTTCATATATCTGTTGGCCATCAGTATGTCCTCACTGAAGAAATGTCTATTCAGGTCTACTCATTTTGTAATCAGATTGTTTGTTTTTTGATTTTGGTGTTAAGTTGTGTGAGTTCTTTATAAATTTTGGATATTAATCCTTTTTTGGATGTATCATTGGCAAATCTCTCTTCCCATTCTTTAGGCTGTCTTTCCATTTTATTGATGGTTTCCTTTGCTGTGTAAAAACTTTTTAGTTTGATGTAGTCCCATTTATTTATCTTTCTTTTGTTTTCTTGCCCGAGGAGACTCATCCAAAAAAAATATTACTAAGAGCAATGTCAGAGAGTACTGCCTATGTTTTCTTCTAGGAGTTCTGTGGTTTCAGGTCTTACATTTAAATGTTTAATCCATTTTGAGTTTATTCTTGTATGTGGTATAAGAAAGTGGCCTAGTTTCATTATTTTTCATGTTTCTGTCTAGTTTTCCCAACGCCATTTATTGAGACTGTCTTTACCCCATTTTATATTCTTGCCTCCTTTGTCATGGATTAATTGACATACATGCATGGGTTTATTTTCTGAGCTCTCTATTCAGTTACATTGATAAACGTATCTGTTTTTATGCCAGTACCATGCTGTTTTGATTCCTATAGCTTTGTAGTATAGTTTGATATCAGGTAGCATGTTACCTCCAGCTTTGTTCTTCTTTCTCAAGATTGCTTTGACTGTTTGAATTCTTTTGTGGTTCCATATAAATTTTAGGATTACTTGTTCTAGTTCTGTGAAAAATGTTATTGGTATTTTGATAGAGATTGCACTGAATCTATAGATTGCTTTAGGTAATATGGACATTTTAACGATACTGATTCTTCCTGTCCTTGAGCACAATATATGCTTCTATTTTTTTGTATCTTTCTTCAGTGTCTCATAATTTTCTGAGTACAGGTTCTTTACCTCCTTGGTTAAATTTATTTCTAGGTATTTTTTTTTATGTAATTAATAATGGGATTGTTTTCTTAATTTCTCTTTCTGATAGTTCATTACTAGTGTATAAAAATACAACTGATTTCTTAATATTAATTTTGTATCCTGCTACTTTACTCAATTAATTTATCAGTTCTAATAGTTTTTTTGGTCGACTTTTTCGGGTTCTCTCTATATGGTGTGTCGTCTGCAAATAATAACGGTTTTACTTCTTCTTTCCAATTTGGATGCCTTTTCCTTCTTTTTCTTGTCTAATTGATGTGGCTAGGATTTCCAATACTATGTTGAATAGAAGAAGTGAAAGTGGACATCTTTGTTTTATTCTTGATCTTAAGGAAAACATTTTTAGATTTTCACCATTGAGTATAATGTTAGGTGTGGGTTTGTTATTTGTGGCCTTTATGTTGTTGAGGTATGTTCCCTCTATTCCCACTTTGCTGAGAATTTTGATCATAAATAGATGCTGGATCTGTGAAATGCTTCTTTTGCATCTGTTGATATGATCATAGGATTTTTATGCTCCATTTTGTTTGTGTGGTGTATCACATTAATTGATTTGTGGATTTGGAACCAGCCTTGAAGCTGAGAGTAAATCCCACTTGATCATGGTATATGGTCTTTTTTAATGTATTTCTGGATTTTGTTTGCAAATATTTTGTTGAGGATTTTTGCATCTCTGTTCATCAGAGATATTGGCTTATAATTTTTTTTTTTTTTTTGTAATGTCTGTCTGGTTTCGGAGCCAGGGTAATGCTGCCCACATACAATCAGTTCTGGAGCCTTCCTTCTTCTTCAGTTTTTTGTAATGGTTGAGAAAGGTAGATATTAATTCTTCTTTAAATGTTTAGTAAAATTCTCCTGTGAAGTCATCTGGTCCAGGACTTTTTGTTTGTTGATAGTTTTCTGATTATTGATTTGACTTCATTTGTAGTTATTGGTATGTTCAGATTTTGTTTCTTCTTGATTCAGTGTTGGAAGATTGCATGTTTCTAGGAATTTATCCATTTTCTCCAGATTGTTCAATTTGCTAGTATGTTATTGTTTGTAGTATTTTCTTAATAATTCTTTGTATTTCTGTGGTATTGGTTGATTTTACTTATTAGGGTCTTCTTATTTTTTTAATGAATCTGGTTAAACTTTTATCAATTTTGTTTTTCTTTTCATAGAACTAGCTCCTGGTTACATTGCTCTTTTCTATTTTTTGGACTCTATTCATTTATTTCCACCCTGATCTTTATTTTTTCCTTCTTTCTACTCCCTTTGGGCTGTGTTTGGTCTTTTTCTAGTTCCTTTAGATGTAAAGTTAGAATGTTTATTGGAAATTTTTCTTGT